CGATGCCTAAAGCATCGAATTTGAAACACTTTTCTTGGCTCTATGTTTGCGACTAGAAAATTTTATGAATAACGCATCGTTCTTAAAAGCAATCCAAGCTAAATCATTCCTTTTGCATCAAATATCACTACATTTCTTCCTATAATTATTTTAAATCAAAGAAAACTTCATTATTATTTCACATCTTCAATAAAAAGTTTGATGTCTGTTCATATAAATATAATATAATATAATATAATACATTGCTCAAAAAAAATTATGGCATAGAAAAATTGTGGGCAAAAATTGGCCAATAATAATTTTGCGAAAAATTATCGTAGAATTTTTTTTAAATTAAAATTTACCTGTACCTTAAATTAAAATTTTATTACCTCTACCTTAAGACATTATGGCCAGATTTTAAGTTTGATACTCCTGCTACTGTAACTTTCAAAAATTGGGAGGATGTGTGTTTCTTATATTGAAAATTGTAAAGTTTAATGCATGGACTTTGTAAAATTTTTTGAGAAATGTTGCCGTTTGCAGCGACTTAAAGTTCGAACTTTTCCTTTTAATTAAAAAAAAAACGAGTCGCTGCGATTTTTTTTACAAAGATACAGCACTTCAAACTTATTTGAATTTTGGTATATAGTACCCTGACATTACCTGCATGACCAGATATGCGACGAGGTTACTGAATGAATTTTGCACATCGTGTTTTTGCGTGTAAATTTTAATAAAGCGTGTTGTCTCCGCATTGTTCTATTACTGTTTGCAGTCAATTCCTCATATTAATGCAGGCCCTAATTTCTTCCTGCGGAATGTTGTTCCAGATTTGTATTAGAGCTTGTAAATCTTTGAGATTGACAGGTTGTTTTGCCAAATCTTTTAATCTACTTGATCTATTATCTAATAGAAATCTGGAATGCAAACACGCATTATTAAAATTTACACGCAAAAATACGATATGCAAAATTTAGCACACGCGCAGAAATATGCAAAATCCAGCAATCTCATAATACATATCCGGTAATGCAGGTAACGTCGGGGTAATATATGTAAAAAATGCAAGGATAATTTTAAAGTGCTGTAACTGTGAAAAAAAATCGCAGAGACTCGTTTTTTTTAAATTAAAGAGAAAACTTCGAACTTTATGCCCCTGCAAACGGCATTCCTAAAAAAATTTTATAAAATCTTTGCATTCTGTCAAACTTTGCAATTTTCAATACAACATATCCTCATATTTTTGAGAGTTACAGTGGCAAGGATGCATCAAATTTAAAATCTGGCCATAAAGTAGAGAGTTTCAAGTTTTAATTTAAAAAAAGAAACGTTGTTCTACGATAATTTTGCGCAAAATTATCGTTAGTCAAAGTTGATCAATTTTTGTCCACAATTTTTCTATGCCATAATTTTTTCGAGCAGTGTATATGCATATGTATATTTGTAGAAAAACATATCAAAATGACGATGTTTATATGTATATTTTGATTATTATTGATTAATCTAATTAACATATTGTTAATGTGACCTTGTTAATATATTGGGTTGTCCGGAAAGTGCCGAAGGAAAGGTTGAAGGAAAATTGAAACGCAGAAAATTTAAATTTTAGTATACATTTATTAAATTATATAGGTTAGTCAGCACGAACTTTCCGGACAATTCAATACCTTTTAAATTGGGTCAGAATTTTGCTTTTGGCGAATATTATCACTGCATTCAGGGATGCATCACCTTCCTTACTTTTCATTCGTAGAGTAGAGAATAAAATTGAATAGCGAGCGGTACCGGAAAATATTCCAGATTCTTTCATATGTAAAACTGTGTCGAAATCAGCCATGTATCATTGTTTTGAACATATGCATCTAACAATAAGAGAACTATTCGCATGATTGAAGTATATTTCGTTATTTTATTGCTCTTTTATTTTTATAACAAACTTAACAATATTCGTATAATTAATTCACATAAAATCGACTTAATAATTATTCATTTTTTTACGAAAGATTAATTGATAACTGATTGATCATAATTCTTATTTTAATCATTCAAAAATGTGAATTTGTATTCAATTAATATCGTTATATGTTGAGTTTCGTTTTTTTAACAAATGGCTTATACACGAAATCGAGAAACAAACAGCACTGAAGTGGAAACACGACAGCACCGAAATCCCGGATACAACAATGCCGTGAGTGTGTGCACAGTCAAGAGGGCAAGCAAGCACTCTCGCGTGGTATCGAGGTATCTCGTACGAGTAGTTGCAAATATGCAACGAGCAAATAACGATAGGTAACATGGTGACGACATATCTTGTATCAAGGAAGTGGAAAATAAGGGTAGAAACACAAATGTACGCAGAGTGGTCTCTCTGTCTCATTTTTCCTTCGATTCAATTTCTCCGCTGCACATACATATACGAATACTCCTTTCCCGAGATAACGTCGATAACGTACGTAGACACGTTATTCGCGTATCGTCCAACGTCACCTAGCCTTTGCCTAGCTCGATCGACAAGCAAAATGTTCTCTGATCGTTCTACGTGCGTATTCCCAATTTGTGAAATTCCTTTGATCACGATTTTAAACATAAATTGTGGTTTTGCAATAGAAATATGTCTCGCAGAAAATATCCTAATCACAAAGAAAGTAACAGTTGTAACACACACCATCTATCTTTTTTTATCTAGAGGAACCAACAAATATGAACAATTTTCTTATATATTGTATATTTGCTTCTGTTTCGATCTTCCGAAAAATACAAAATCTAGACAATTTTGTTTAGATTTCTTCCAAAATTTCATGCGTTAATATCATTTTTTAAATATTAGTCAAGATAATTGCTGTTAATAATCTTGAGTGCTGTGATCACCGACAAAAGTATTCAACTTCGTTGGTATGTATTATCACTCTATATTTCTACGCTTAAAATTGTTAAGTATAAACTCACCACCGTCACTGCGCTGTGTAACGCCTCTCTTGTCCCCTTTTCCCATATTTCCGTCTTCCGCTCTCTTCAAGATAAAATGCTCGTTCCTTCGGTCCCACCTAGAATCCAATTGCAAAATATTCCGTTATTTTGTTATATTTATTTCGTATACATAAAATGAGTATATGTATATGTATGAGTGTGTATGTGTATGTGTGTATATATAGAGTAAGTTTGATAAAATGTTCATCACATTTTTCTTGAAAACTTAGAAATAGGGGGAAGATTATTATCAAAATTTTAGGATAAGGGAGACATATTTTGATGAGTCTTTAAATGTTCTTTTCATACTACCAATAAAAAAATTGTTTTTAGTGAGAAGGGGTATTTTTTACTCGTTCGAGTCGATACTCACTGAGCTGAATAATTTTGCATTAAAATATTTAAAAAAAAATTCAATTATTATCAGAATATAATCAAGATAAGTCAGACTGAAAGTGTGGAATAAATTTTTTATTATTGCAATAAATGTTCAAAAAATATTGCCAAATTGGCAATATTTTTTGAACATTTATTGCAATAATTTAAATTGGATCTAAACATGTCTGTATAGTCTTCGTAGAAAGCTTGCTTTTTCTACTAACTTTTAAATCATTATTTCGCGAAAAATATTTTCTTATTCTTTTTTTCATGTTTTCCAAGTGGTAGGATGTTGAAAGTGAGCTAATTCCTTCACTCTTTCTCAAAGATAATTAAATCGGGTAGTCTTGCAGAGAATAACAAAGGACCACATTTATCAATTTAATTGTTTAAGAACATTCTGTCGAGCTCTTGCCTCGTATCTCAATCAACATGGTGAACAATCTGGCTTATATCCCGACAAAAGTAAAACAATAATTAACTTTTTCAAGGGGGTAATCACTTAATGTAATCGTGAGATAGAGTCCTCGAAATCATTATAAAATTCATATGAAATCTCTATGTATAATCTTATAATTACCACATGCAACCATAAGAAATCATTGTGTAATATTAAATAAAATCGTATATTTTATCAAACTTGATATCATATGTAGTGAAAAAAATTATTTGTAATCAGATGAAATTATATGAAATCAAATGAAATCATGTAATCTGTAGGACAACATTTCAGCTAATAGTTACCGCCTCAGATTTTTTGAAAAGATACTTTAATACAAAATTATTCAGCTTATTAAACATCATCGATAGAATAAATAAAAAATATCCCTTCCTATTAAAAAAAATTTTTAATAGGAATTTTTTTTATTAGTAGTATAAAAATCAAAAACATGTAAGATTATTCAAGATCCATACAAAGTATATTCCTTTATTTATCTTATAATTTTGATACTAGATGTTTTCCTTTACCGTTTTTGAGAAAAACGTGATGAACTTTTTATCAAACTCATCCTGTATACATACGCATACACACACACACACACACATACACACACACACACACACACACACACATACGCGCGCGCACACGCACGCACACATATATACACGCATATATGTATGAACGTCTAGCTATTCGTGCCAGTCATACAATTCCTTTTATTCCACCGTGTAAGTTTATTTTCCGCACCGATATATAAAACTCGTCGCAAAAGATAAACAAGATTTCAACTGTGTGATATAAAATTGCAATCGTTTTTTTTCGATTACGAAAAACATCATGTGAACAGTGTTCATTGTTTATACAATGACCGTGGCATACAGTTTATGAATAGATAAAATAATTTGAGGATTATTTTGAAACATTTAAAAGTCCTAACTAGTCGTCGCTATTGGAATAGTGATATTATGAGCGAGAAATAATACGTTGAAGTTTCTTGCATGTCATTTATTAAGTAAAAAAAAAAAAAGAATTTAAATAAAACAAAATAATTTATTTCATGCATTTTTTACGACTATTTACTGACTATACAAATTTCTCTGAAAAGTATAAACATATAGATAGTTATAATTAAACGTTGCCACTATTTGGCAATTTGATTTACTCTTTACACTAATTGTAAAAAGAAAAGAACAATCTTTTTAATAATTTGATTCACTAATAGGGTTCTCCTAAAAATGTGATAGGAGCAATTCTCTCGACCGTCTGTAACTTCAGTTTAAAGCAACGTAAATCTGATACTCACAAGCACGATATTATGCCAAGAGGGGAGACAAGAGAGAGGAAAAGAGAATCTCTTGTTCGCAATTTTGAATTTCACGAGCCTTTGTGGCACCACTCTCTTGTTCCAGGCCGGATCGAATTTACGCATGCATCACTGTGGCACTAAAACTCACACTAGTAACGCCAAGGAAGCCTTTTAAATTGTCGAGACAGTAGCGTTAATTTTGTACTAGATCAATAATGTCTTACTTAAAAATTAGGATGTATAGATAATTACCATATAATAGCGCATATAAGATAATTCCAATTGTTCGAAGTTTTAGAATAATTTGCTGTTGTTATTATTCCGAGATATATTTATTAGTCATTTATAAAACCATAATTAGGAAAAAAAATTGTTGACGAAGTGTGAAATGCTTTAAACATAATGTATCTGGAAGGAAAGGCTTGCACATTGCACGTGCAACATAGATATATTAGATATCATACTGGTCACGTGCTATCGACACAGAATGACTCTGTTAATAATATAAAGCGGAGACGCGTGATTCTTTTTCTTTGTCTATTCTTCCTATCGCGATCCATAAATTTTTTGAAAAGCTCGAAAAAATCAACAACAAAAATTTTGCTTGATATTATGTACATTTTTTTTACTTCTTGCAATAAATGAAACATGTTTACGAACTAAGTGATAGTCAAATATCTTATAATTTTATTATTTTCTGTCTTTACCATTGACATAAAAATATTTTATTACATTGTCATAGTCAAAGTATTAACTTAGTAAATGTGTACGGATAACTCCGATATACAACGTATCCATTAAAAACTTAATTTATTAAGTATTATTTGCTATGTTTAAAGTAAACGAACTATATCAGTAAAAACTTCGTATCGTCTACTATTATGAAAAAAATATTAGAAATCCGAAATATTTATATTTCGTATTAAAAAAATGAATTTTTTTAAACCCTTGCATTCCATAGGAATGGAATATATAGCTACTCATAGAGGGAGGGGAGGCTCATAAAAAACTTACAAGTAATGCATATAAATAAGACGTAAAATGACACAATAATTTATAAAATGCGCTTATAAAGTTTTATTAAGGAATAAGAAAAAAATGATAAAATATGTATATAAAGTAATAAATAATAATTACAATCTTCCCAGATACATTACAAGTGTTATGACATAAGGTACATATAATGCGTTTATTACATAATGCATTTAGTGCACTGAATTCAAACTGCATTTTGTATGTTTTAAGCAAATTCCGCTTATTAAAAATGCTATATATTCCAAACAGATGAGATGTACAAGACAACAAACTAAACAAAGAATACAAGAATAAAGTACTTGTATTTTGTTATACAACATACTTTACTATTGCTCTACACTCATGTATCATGAAATAAATAAGTCTTTTGCACGTCCTACAGTAATCATTTTATGTAGAGTATAATTTATGATGGTGCTACTTAACACAGTGACAAAACGATTCAATTTACAATAATTTCATTAATATTAACAATAAGAAACTGAAATCATATAATACTAATCTAATATAAAGGCATGTAACAGAGTAGTTTTACAGAGGCAAATTTATTCACTCCTTCTATTTTTTCTGACTTCTGCGGCGTAAATCTCAGCGCGGCGTATTTGCCGGAGATTACTTTATATTTACTGTAGCCTGCTGTACTTAATCAACGTATACATTCACTAAAGTTACATTTTGACTATGACAATACAACAGAAATTGGTTATTATTGGTTATATTAGTTATTCTTGTTCCTAAACCAAGATGTATATTTAATCCCATAGAATTTTATTTTAAAAAAAATTAAACTGTTAAATTCTAATATAAAATTTTTTAAATATACGTAATACTAAATCATTTTCTGTGATAAATACAAAGAATTTTTATCATATATATATTTCTTTTTCGAATTTTCTAAAATATAAATGTAGAAAAGAGATTTAAAAAGTATAAAATTTGAATAGTATTCAAAAAAAAACGTACAAAAAAGGGAAAAAAGATTCGAAAAAAAAATGTAAAGCAAAATTAGAGCCAAACAAATCGTAGTTCTATTTGCCTTTTTTTTCGTAATTTCAGTAAACGAACATGACATCAGAACGAAAATTAAAAGATAAATGGTATGCAACATGTCGATGGTTCTAAGTTTCAGGCCACGAGGGAACGAACGCGATAGGGCTCAACACGCTCTCACGTTAAACGATCGAGGATACGGCACGCCATTTCGACTGAGAGTTTCGCAACGCTGTTACGGCGCTTCCGGACGAATAAGTAACGAGTTTACGCTCGCAGGATTTCAATTTCACGTTGAAAACTTATTGGAACACTATCATCGTATTCTCCGTTCTCGCTCTTAACAAGTTGCATTGAACGTCAAGTCTAAAATGTAGCTGACTACATTTCAGGCAAATGAATAATCATGATGACATGGTATTTAAATGGAAAGTCTTGTCTAATAATTATAATATTTCTCTTGTCCGAAAAAGGCGCGTTTATTTCTTAATATAGTACAATTGAAAATATGTTCATATAAAATGCTCTTTTAGATTATTTACAAAATATACTTCTTTGTTAAATATTTAAAAAATTTTTTATTAATATACATTTTATATCTTAATAATCTTTGAAAACCTCTTTATTAATTTATTTAACATGTCAATTACAAAGACTGAGATGATATTTTTTAATAATATATATTTAT